GCTGCGTGTGGGGAGAGACTAAACCTCTTCCCTCTCCATAAGGTTCCACCTAACTGCAATCCTCCTGGAATAATTTCTTTTGATAACCTGACTGTCAAAGCTGCTAACATTGGATGTTTTGCATTGACAACAGATGGAAATGTAGCCATCTTTTTCCCTTTTGCTTTTAGAGTTAGATGATGCTGGAAGGGGGGGCTGTGAATGAGAGTCTAGCTAGACATAACAACACTAAACTTAGCATGAGAATCAAGGTTATTGAGCCAAGAGCTGATAAAGAATTGGCGGGCTGGAGAACTGGAGAGGAAGCCCGCCTTTCAAGCTAATTGGGGAGTGTGATTTATGACTGTTAATTGGAAGAGGGAATTGTGCTTTGATACTATGTGCCCAGGGGAGAGGAATTCAGTTTTTGGCTTCGATTATGAAGTGTCAATATTATGCTACTTGAATAAAAGATTCTTTAAGGTAAACAATGCCTTGAAGTTCTTTTGAAGAGTTTCATCTCTCGGAACCATGACACCGACCTTGCAGGTTGTATATTGCTTTAACCTGAGCATCTTTTGTAACTGGCTCTCACTGTGAAGGTTTCTTAGAAATCTCAACCTTTGCTTGACTCTGACAATGAACACTGCCTTGCTCAATGAAAACAGTGTTTGCAACCCACAGGAACCCAATTCCTTTTGAATTCAAAATGCATTTACAACAGTAACACAGTCTGATGGATTTACAGCCTTGACCTGCTAGTTAAGTAACTCCAGCCCAAGGGGCCAGGCAATAAATTCTCACCAAGGCAGACATAGAAGCATTGACCTAAGAAGATCCATGATTCAATATTTTTCACATCTATGACAAAAGAAAATCCAGTTTGAATGAAGGTTTAACTCTGTAACTTCTGCTTAAAGAGGATGGCCTGGCATAATGACAGAAAATCCGTTTAAATACTAACACAAGTGAGTTACAAGCTGGGCTTCTCTCCAAAGAATGCTTGTGTTTTAAGGTGATCTGTGCAGGTATGCCCAAAGTATCAGTTCAACATCCATGTCTTTGAGGCTACTTGCTCAGGGAAATTAATTTACCTTCTTTTTGGTATCGACTGCCAAAAACATATTATTTATAGTCAATGGCCAATAGCTCAGAGAAGCAGGGATGGCAGGTGTTATTTATTGCTCCAGCTAAAGAGCATCATAAGATGCCCTCATTTATCATGTTGTCTGTTTTCTTCACTGAGCATTCAATGAGCACTTGTGGACAGGGTCTCTCTAGTGACAGGCTACTGCTTTCTGCTTTATATAGACTAGATGGGCTAAACAGGGAAAAATACGCACTAAGAAAATTAACACCAGAAGAGACAAATTGTTGAAACCTTTTACATGCCAAGAAGGCTCATGAAAAGGAACAGAGGCACCTGGGGATATAGCTAAATAGAATGATAGCACCACTTACTATGTGCCAATTTCTTCTCAAGCGGTGCATATGGGAAATTCAACAGCAAAAAAAAATTGATAGGGGAGAGCTGCCATAGGGCTCTTCCATCTCAATTTTCTGTATGAAAAAAAACTGCTAAGGGGAAACAGGTTTGAAGGTAGGAGTGTGGATACAGTGAAAGGGGAAATGGGCGAGCAACACCAAATTTATGTGTATGTATTTATTTTATTTTATTAAAAGTATCTGATAGATAAGAATGTAAAAAGAATGTATGTTAACACGTGATAAATATTGCAGTATATGTTTAGAGGAGAGTTGGGAAAAATAAAAAAGTTTTTTTAAAAAAAACTTCCTTCCCCTTCTGACTTTAACCCCCACTTTGGATGAATCTTGTAGAGATGCTGTTCGCCTTGGAAGAACATTCTCCCTTTGAATTAAAAAAACAAATGGGAGATAAGGGAATTGGATTCTAAATCAGGATAGTTAAAATTCCATCATTCTTCTTTGTCTGTGTTACAATTCAGATTAAAAACAAAAAAATGAAGGCATTCCTGAAATCGTCTAAGACTTGACTGGTTTGTTGTACGAAATGCTGGAGTCTTTGACCAAAAATATAAAAGTACCTAGCTGTCATTCTTACTTATTTAGGGCATTCCAATGCTATCTTCAGAACAGCTTTGGAAGAGCATAAGTGAGGATAAAACTCCAGTTTACTCCTGAGTAGGTGTCCATAGGGTTGCTAGATTCAAGGAGCATTTGGCTGTCCATAGTGCAATACAGCAGCTAGGATCCCTTTCTATTTCCAAAGCCCAGTCTCCCCAGATTTCAAAGGATCACATTCCCAACTACAACAATTTTTTTGGATAGTAGCATTCAAAGTTAAATGTCCAGTGGCAAAAGAGGGACCAAGCGAGTCTGCTATGATTGCTGATTATTGCTTTTGTAATTACAGCGTAGTGATTTCTTTTCAGTAGCTGTAACAACGATCAATTGGAGCAAGCTTTTTGTCCATTCCAGGAAGCAGGATGATTGAATTCATTTGGACTTTAATGAGAATCTACAGGGTGACTGTGATTCTTTTCTCACTGCCAGTTTAGAAAGGGACTGTCCTGTGCAGAACACAGGAAATTTATTTTTAATCCTCCTGCAGAGACTACTACAACTTAAACAAAAAGTCATCTGAACAAAAGGCCAAAAGCTTTTGCATGGCTGCAGTCAAAGAAAGCCTGACAATTCCTTTTGGACATGGCTTTAACATCATTCCATAACAGCAATATTCTATCATGCCTTTTGAATGTACTCACCCAAAACACTTGCACAAAAACTGAGCAAAGTTTGAGACATTGCTAAGCCACTAAGCCAGATATCTATCAAAATTTCTCTCCCTCCATCCCTGCCCACAATAAGGAGAGCAATTGGCAGGAGTTTTTTCCCGCCAGCTGGTGGTGTTTGGAAGGCAAATGAAACCAGAGGAAACCACCAATCACTTTTCCTTAATTTAACCCACATTAAAGCTATAAAGACAACACCATCCCTGCTTCATTATTTAGACAAAACAGGGCAAAGTATCCTGGCTACTTCATGTTCAAGGATCAGAAGAAACCATTTTAATGTGGCCACAGGTTTCCATTATGGACCAGAAGAAAATATTATGCCTGGCAAGACTGAGAAAAGTAGAAGAAAGAGAAAACTATATATAAGATGGATAGACATGATTTATGAAATGAAGGAATGCCCTTAGAAGGGCCATAAGTTATTACTGAAGCCATGTCAAGACACCGGGATTCAAACCAAACTCAGTGACACCTAATTATGCTTTCCATTGCATTTCATTGTAAAGTACTATTGTTCTTGCTCTTTTTATTGTTGTCATACAGCATATTAGTTAACTAGCCAGATTATTAGAACTGTTAAGGTTACCCAATTCCCCAAAGACGCTGGGCAGCTTACAGTATATGACCGTCCAGACTAAACAGCATTCCCAATACTAGGAAAAAATGTTGCATTCAACAAGACAAAGCTATGTGTAAATGCATTAGAACAAATCAAACATGATTTTTGATCTAATGTACACTATGTAGTAACAAAGATTTTGTCTCTCTTAATGCCAATGTAGTAATTGGTTTTCCAGATGCAGCCACTTCATGGATTTCTTGGAGCTGAAGTTCAACAAAAGAGATTTTGATGTATGAGAGAGAGGTAATCAGTTGTGGAATATTTGGGGTAGATCCACATAGTTTCTATCCTCAGCTGAAAATGCAAATGAAGGTCAAGCACAGAGTGAAAAAAATGTAATTGAAATTAAAGAGGGCCAAACTAATGCCAACAGTTACAGTCTTAGAATTGACAATGAAGATACTGAAGTGGTAGACAGTTTCTTTCTTTTAGACTATCAATAGTACAGAAGCAGTAGTCAAGAAACACATTGCCAACTGGCACTTATTAGAGCAGCAATGAAAACTTTGGAAAAGATATCCATATGGCAGGATTTGTCTGTATCTTCCAAGATCAGAATTGGGCAGACAATGGTTTTCCCTGTGACACTCTGTAGAAGTGACTTTGAAACATCTGAAACAAGGATGTTAGGTCCAATAACAAAAGGTGGACAATTTGCCAGAGAAGGAAAGAAGCCCAAGATAGATTAACATCATGATTAATTTCTTGCAACATTTGATAGAGAGTTTTTTTCTTCTCTCAATTTTAAATTTTAAAGAATTCACAAGATCCAATACTTAAAACAGTTAATGCCTTTAAAATTGTTTTTTTAACTTCAATTTTAAATATTTCTACGTCACTTTGAAATCTGGAGACCTCGCCAAGTGACAAAAAATGCCAGATATTATCATCCTTGCACAAAATATCCAGTATTAATCATAAATATATTTAAAGGGATTGGTAATAATCAGGATAATCATTATCCCTATTGTATTATTAATGTTCAATATCATTATAACTCACTATGACAATATATTAGTTCATAAAAATTACTCAATCAGTACTGAAGCTTGCTTTGTCTACCACATCAGCATAGAAACCAACAAACTGAACTAAGATTCTAATTAATAAGCCTTCTGCTGAAATATGTGAATTTTTGCTAATTTCAATATTGGACCATTTCTGAGCCTAATTAAGGTCTTCTTTTACAACATTAATCTGTCCAAAAAGATCCCCTGCTAGATCCAGCACCATTGAAGAAAACATTACAATTCCTTCTTTTGAACAACAATAACAACAAATCAAACATACAGCAATTTGCAGCCTGAGGTTAGCAATAACTTAATAATAGAAGGAGATGAAAGGGGGGGGCTCTATTATGAAGGTCCTGCTTAAAGTATTAGTTTGAAACACAGGTAGCTTTAGAATGAATCTCTTGTTGTTCTCAGAGTCCGCTCAGAAAACTGGGTTATTTGAACAAAAAAAGGAAACCAATAAACACTGAAAAACAGCAGGGATGAATAATAGTCATGCAGTTAGAAAAAAACAAACAAAACTAGGCTTTACAGAGAAGCCGAGGCAACATAATCTCGGAAAAATAATGGAAGCTGCAGTACTCTGATTGGTGGATGCTGATAACTTACCACAAGTTCACAAGGAAAGGATGTTCCAGCCCCTGCATGATCTGTAACTCTTTGAAGACATTTCGCACTTCATTCCGTTCCACACATTTTTGTTTGTTCATGTACTTCATTGCATACATTTTCTTGGTATCTTTCTTCTGAACAATGCATACCTAAAGGAATAAGGCAAAGTATTGTGTTCCATAAAATGGAATGTGTAGAACGAATATAGTTAATGGAAATGCAGGTTCTTCTATAATCTGTCCTCGGGTAAAAGTTAACATTTCAGTGCTGCAACTTCATTTCCCTAGTGTGTATTCTTAGGTGTAAGAAGTATGATTGCCTCTGTGAAGACCATCTGCGGGGAAATTAGTAGATTTCTTATGCAGTTGGTTGGCCATGGTGAGAACAGAAGGCTGGATTAGATGGGCCAGGGGTCCAATCCAGCAGGGCATTGCTGATTTATTATTTATTTATTTTATTAATCAAATTGTAGAGCCATCCATCTCACCAAAAGTGAGTCTGGACGATATACAACAATCAAATAAAAAAAACACAAATATCAAAATGACATATATAACATGTCTATATTAAGAAATAAATAGTATAAAAAAGAAAATATTCAAACCCCTAGGTAAAGAGAGGATAAAAATAGTCACTTCAACAATGGAGCCATCTAAGCACACCTCCAGTTTCCTGGGAGCCACAGGAATGATAACACAACCAGGCCTTAAGGGCCTTTTGGAATGTCAAAAGGGATGGGGCTAATCTCATTTTGGAGAAATTATGCTTTCCTACATTAATATTTCCATCAAGACTGCTAAATTGCTAATACTGAAGCCCATACTTTGCATGGGAAATATGATGCATAGGAATAAGGTGAAAATATTCCATTGTTTAAAAGAGGTCCTTCTAATTCAGTGGTTCTCAACCTGTGGGTCGGGACCCCATTTGGGGTCGATCGACCATTTCATGGGGGTCGCCAAGCAAGGCTGTCCGCCATTTTTTTTGTCTGCCATTTTTTTTGTCCGCCATTTTTTTTCCCCTTTTCTGGCGGGTGCCTTACCTCCCTTGGGCTGGGCCAGCTGGTGGTCGGCCTGCTCCATCTCTGCCGCTTGCCAGCTACGCCTCGGCCGGCGCAGGGGGCGGAACCATGCATGCATGGCGCTCCCGGGCAGGGAAAGTCCTCGACTTACGACCAGTTGGGTAGTCCTCGACTTATGACCGGTTTAGTCCTCGATGTACAACCTGTTTAGTCCTCGACTTACGACTGGTTGGGGTCGCGGCATTAAAAAGGTTGAGAACCACTGTTCTAATTAGTAATCTGATCCCCAGTTGAATTAACCCAGAGGTAGTCAGAGCCTTTATTTCTCTGTTTCTTAGGTTTCACCATTGTCCAACCACTTGTCTTTGAAACAGCATACAGTACTTTTTAGCATTTGGGGCAAGATCTCTATCATTTTTCACGAGTCAATTCTGACATGAAATGGAGAGCAAATGAAAATACAAGGCTATAGACCACCTCTCCTCAATTACATCTACCCAGCCCACCAGAAGGTAGGGCATGTTGCGAGCCCCAACTATCAAGGAAGTACATCTGGTGGGACCTAGAAAAATGGTCTCCTCTGTGGTGGCTCTCTTCCTTTGGAATATCATTCTCCCACAGGTATGACTGGTTCCACCTTGTTGCTTTTCTGCAAGACCTTGAAGACATTTTGTCAGGGATCCCATTTAGAGCCCATCAAATGTTTGTCTGATTCTCTTGTTACTGCTACACAGAGGGTTGGGGGGGAGGTTAAGTTGTGAATTTTAATTGTGATTTTTAATGTTTTGACTATAAAAATGTGTTAAAATAAATAAATGCCACTCAACGTCCCCCCCCCAAGTTGTGCTCTGGTGAAACTATAGAATAGGGCTGGACAATGTTTTATGTTAGATGTAGCAACAATCCTTAGCTCCATGGCTTGCAGGCTAGAATAAGTTTTCCTTTTTCCATGGAGGAGATTAAACTGCTGAATTTCTGATGCCTTCGACAACAGACAAATTGATATCCACCCTCTTTCTTTGTTTTGCAGCCTGAGACTATGTAGGAGATATGATAAGGGATCCATTCTGTGAAGGAATCCACAGGTGGTCACATTACTGACTTAGATGTGTCCTGCAGATAGTATCTGATACGTTCACTCAGAATAATACAACCCAAGAGATTCATGAATGCTCATATCTAATATGATGGCTAAAAACAGACTTAAAGTGGACATTTTTTTTCATATAAATCCTCTACAAAAACAACATGATGGGAATTGGAAAAGCAAAATGAAGCAGAATGCAGCATGTCTGAATTTGCTCTACTAGAAGGTTTGCATTTACTAGAAATACATATACACATACATATACATACATTCAGAAGCTTGGGAAGATTTTACGTATGCAAGGAGTAGGGCTCCAGTTGTTAGTTCTTTAGAAAATAAGATTTAGCATGCAATATTTTGGACAATATTTTATGCCTATTTGGTAAGAAGGAACCAAATAGTTCCATAGTATATGGTTTGCAAAAACATACCTTTCCAAAGCTGCCTTTTCCAATGGCTCTGAGAATTTCAAAATGATCAAAGGTAACTATAAAAAAGAACAAAATATAAATAATAAATACAAGCTCAGCAATTTAACATTAAAATCAACAACTTCCAAATTATTATTTCAAAGATCCACCTATGGATCATCATGGCTAAAACTTAGCTATTTGCTCCTATAATGTGTCTGAAGCAATATTATTACCCTGTTATTTCATAATGATAGCTGTATTATGAATAAGTGCTCACTTAATCTGCTCTCATTAATATTTAAATTATGGCCGTATTAACTATAAAAGCTTTTCTTATGTTTAACCTTTTCCACCCACCTCAAAAAAGGAGGCGATATTAAACAGATATATTTTTTTTATTTTCTCTGAAACCAGGTTTGATCAGGTGAAATGATGCAAACTATGAAGTGATGCAAACTTTGAAAGGCTAACAGTAAGTGGTCAGTTGCAATAAGTCCCAGGCTGCAGCAATCTCTATGACCAATAAATGTCAGTAAATGGTTAAATGTTTTCTGTATCTTTTTGCTGCTCTCTAGTAATGCATCTGCATTTTTGGAGGCAAGATGTGGTAGATCTAGTCTAGTGGGAAAATAGTCATTGTATTTACTCCTTATTATTTTGAATTGAAGCTTTGAACAAAACATAGCACCTGGGATTTCATCAGTGCTCCATCTGTCAGGATTAAGCAATTCAGAAGAAACATTTACTTGCAAATACAACTCAGGAGCCAGTTTGTGGCAGTGGTTTTAAGGCACTAGGCTAGAAATGGGGAGTTCATGAGTTCTAGTCCCAACTTAGGCCTAAAGCCAGCTGGGTGACCTTGGGCTAGTCACTCACATTCAGCTGTAATAAACAGGCTATGGCAAACCATTCCTGAAATTTTGCCAAGAAAACTGCAGCGACTAGTCTAGGAGTCAGTACTGACTTGAAGGCACCAAAAGAAAAAGAGGAAGGAGAAGGAGCAGCTCAGGAGATATGTTTGGGGTTTTTTTTTGTTCTGTTTTGTTTTGGAAATGCACTGAGCCTTTAAACCTGAATCCACAAGGAACCTGTGTGTGTTAGGTGAAGACCTGCTACTTCATAATAGTCAGAGTTGTACCTCAACTTCCTGAACCCACAGCCTTTCTGAGTTATTCAAGCATGCTTAATTGTCATTCTTTCAAAGATTCCTCCTGAGGAGACATGTATTTCTGTATTCCAAGTGTTTTTCATGCCCTGGAAGAATTTACCACAATGGCATCAGGTACAATTTCTTAAATCACCAACTTTGAATTCTGTTCATACCAGGCCTTTTGATGAGAGGGAAATCAGGCAGTAATACAGAAGGGAGGGAGGGGGGGGAGGAAGGGAGGGAAGGAAGGAAGGAAGGAAGGATCATGAGAGCAGCCTATTCCTCATACTGGGCATATGTTAAACAGCACTTAAATTTCATTAGGAGGCTGATTAAAAAGACTAAATTGTAGCACTTTATGTCACATCCATCCCACCAATTAAGAAGCTGGGCAAACCATATATCTAACCTGCTTTTTGCCTAGGATAGCAAGAGGAAAAATAGTGAACAGGTCTGTAAACAGCTCCCCAAAAAGGCAAGTGAATTATGGGTTAAAGTAACATTGAATGTGGGATAATGCCAATTGTACCATGCAGTTTAAAATCTTTATCAGATCATAAACAAAATGACTGCACCAGAATTGTACAAAGTCAGTTACGATTTGGACAAAGCTGTCTTCCCAGAATTGTGAACTGCCATGCTGGCTGACTATTCTGGGAACTGTAGTCACACCACATGTGTGGGTGGATAAAACCACCTGTGGGTTGGGTAAAAGCGGGTAATAGGTTTTGAGAAGCAAGTTGCAAGTCATAAGAGAATTCTAATGCAAAGACATTTGTGCCTCACAAACATTCCACACTACAAACAAAAGTCTACTTAACAATATGGAGAGGGGAAAAACCCTCAATTTCTTTCTCTGTGGTCTTAATAACCTGGAATATGGCTCAATGCCTCAGACACGGCCAATAGCCAGGACTCTGGCACAGAGAAGAAGGCAGATCTTTCAGCTTCAAGAAATTGGCAGCTATGAATCAAGGAAACCCAAGTTCTGAAGAACAGCATGTCAGAATAGCTGTCCTTTGAAATATTGATTCTTAGACTATACCTTGCTTCCTCCCTTCATCGCCACATCCTTGGAATATACATAATATGGGAAATTGATTGGGAAATGGCAAAATACTAGCAGAGATTACTTCAGAGAAGTTGGCTGCTTGGACTTAGCCAAGGTCCTATAATTCCTGCCCATCCTGATGCTCCAGTCCCCACCTGGTTAGGATAGATAACTAATTGTTAAGGCCCCCAGATTTAAACAAAATTAAATTGTTTCCTTTCCACAAAATATGTGGAGTCAACCACCACCAATTATAGTTCCCATTTCACAACGGGAACAGTGGGATAGAATTTTTTTCCCATTTCTGTGTTGATCTAATAATTATAAATTTCAGTTTCTGTATTACTCACAAAGATTGTATCAAAAGGAGCAACATTTGCAATACAAACAAGTAACCCTACCCTTGTGT